CCCCAAAACCCCAAAACCCCAAAACCCCTTTTGGTAAGAATAAAATTGAAAATGCCTTGGGAACTTATATTGTTAATCATAGGATATTTAAGGATTTTTGGAAAAAAATTGATTCAATTGTTCCGAAATCTCCTTTTATAACCCGTCTACTTTCAAAATTTACATCCCAAAACTACATCCTCAAATACCAACTCCTTCATTGTCCTCTCTCTCCCTAGCCCGCCCTCTTACCTCCAAAATCCCTCTATTTTCTAAACCCTTGAATCCCTTCTTACTCTCCACAAAAAGGCTCACTAGTTTTGGCCACATTTAGTACTGCAGCCAAAGGTTTTAGCTATCTAAAACTTCTTTATCAAGATCCTTAAGCTATCTTTTGAGCCGAAGAGTGTTTTGATAGATAAATCCTAAACCTAAGTTTTAGTGCAAGGCAGACAGACACAAAATTGGGTAATGAATGGTGATAATAATGAACTGCTCTTGGCAAGACTCAGTTTTAAATATAGCGTAAGAATTATAGATTGCATAGAAAATCTTGATTCGAATACCATAAGATGCGATTCCGATCTTTTCCAATTTGCTTCCATAAGCTTCAGCTTGTGTAAATGCGTTGATCCGGCTATCGATGTTCCTTTCCTTAATTACTTGGTCTTGACGAAAGTTATTAACTTTCGTACATATGTAAACTGAAGTGAGTGATTAATTTTTCAGGGCTGTTGATAAATCTGGAGTAGAACTTAGATCTAGTTTTCATCCGTCTAAAATTAGTATTTTAGTATTTTCAGATTCACGTAAGATTTTTCTAAGATTTCTTTGGGAGATGTAGAATTTTCTGAATCAAAATCTTTCATGAACTCTTGAAAATAAGTTTTTGAATCTGTTGAGATATAAGCCAATGTTATGGGAAGAGTGTCTTCTCAAGATTCCTTCAGAAGGCTGTCACAACAGTCTACCAACTTGTTTGATAAAGGGAGCTTGAGCAAGCTTGTTGAAGATTTTAAAATTCTTTTATCACATATCATTGATAAATTATAAATTAATGGATGCTAATGTTTATCCCTTTCAGAAATGATAATTTGACTGAATCAGAGGTTTCAAGTTCATTTGGACCAATTGGCTCAATCTTATTTCATTATCTATAAGGTGAATATAATTCCTTTCAAAAACATATGAACAAGAGTAATTTCTCAGTTCACTGGACCCTAAGTACACTTCTCAACTGATATAACTTTACTAAACTCTTATAGAACCCTAAAAACATTTCCTTACAACACCTCGTTAATCCCGCTCAAAACAATCATACATAGGCACAAACCTCAAGTAACATCTAACCCCACAACTACTCTCAAGCATTAGACCCATTCACAAAATTCCTACTCATTCCTCACATCTTTACTGCCCTTACAGTTTTCAACAAAATTAACAAAATTTGTCCTTGCGTTAAAACACTCCGTCATTAAAATGTGTCCTCGTTGTAACTCAAGTCTCCTTTCTTCTTTATACCTCACTTTCAAAGCATTTCAGATATGGCTGCTTGATTCTATTAATTTTATCTTCATGAACTTTAATTTGTTGATTAATTTCATGATCAGATTTCTATCATAATCCTGCTTAGTAGTATTTTCAAAGTTGCATCTTTGCTGGATTCACTCAGTACAGAATCTGTTGAATCCAGAGTCTTGGCGAAGCCCAGTTATCAGCTCTTGGCTAACGCCTTTGCTTTGCATCACTGCTAGGACTTCAGTTGCAATGTCTTGAGCATGAACTGGCACTTGTTGGAGAATTTCCATAATAAATAATATAAATAATGTAAATTTATTTCTAAAGTAAAGGGGTTTTGGGGTTTTGGGGTTTTGGGG